TTCATTAGCACAGGCTTGATACCAATAAACAAAGCCTTTTCCATAAGCATGTACAATGAGCAAATGAGTACAATGTCAGTTATTACCTTTGAGAACTTGTGTCTTTTTCATGGCTGTTATTGGTAGAGGCAATTTCATCCAATTGCTCTGGAAGAGGATGATGATTAAGAGCAGGTTTTGTTATTCCTTTTCTGTGAAAGATAAAACAAAGTTATATTTCTTGTAAAGAGAAAATATACAATTTTTAGTAATCTGATCTAGATGTTAGTCACCTACTTCCTGTAGTTCTGGGACTGTCCAATGTGGTAGCCACAGCCACTAGCAGTTAAATTGTGGCTCATTGGAATTGTGTTTTAAGGGTATAACACATTTGACTTCAAAGTCTTAGTGCAATTTTAATTTTGTTATTTGTACATCTTAAAATAATAATATTTTGGAGATATTGAGCTAAACAAAATATATTCTTTTTTGTGGTGCTGTGGTTTGAACTCAGGGCCTTTACCTTGAGCCACTCCACCAGCCCTTTTTTTATATTGGGTTTTTTCGAGATAAGGTCTCTCAAACTATTTGCTCAGGCTGGCTCTGAACTGCGATATTCCTGATCTCTGCCTCCTGAGTAGCGAGGATTACAGGCATGAACCGCTGGTGCCCAACAATATATATTCTTAAGGTTACTTTTATTGTAAAATTGAAAATACAGTAAGATATCACCCAACTATTAGAACAGTTAAAATAAAAAATAGTTGTAACACCAAATGCAGGTGAGGATGTGGAATAACTGAATGACAATCTCACCAGCAGTGTATGAGACAAACAGCACAGCCACTCTGGAGTAGTTGGACAGTTTCTTATAAAATAAAACATATGCATTTGCCAAAATACCTACCAAGTGAGTGCTTGTATATTTGAACCCAGAAAAAAATGAAAACTTATCCTATCCTCACCCCCAAAAAAACATATATACATGTTCACAATGATTTTATTTATAGTTGAAAAAGAAGTGGGAACTTGAACATCCTTCAATGGTATCAATGGTTAAACTCTGGTTTATCCACACAAGAAAATATTATCCAGCAATGAAAAGAAATGAACTTTTGATACGTGCAACCTAGACGGATCTCAAGGACATCATGTTTGGTTTAAAAAAAAAAGCCAAAAAACAAACAAAAATATCCCAAAACAAAAAAGGTTGGTGTCACTGCTTAAGTGGGGGAATGGGGATTGCCTAGCATGTGCAAGGCCTTGGGTTCAATCCCCCTAGCACCTCAAAATTGTTTTCATATGGTTTTTTCTTGATGTGATCACCTGAAAATTTAAAATGATGTGTAGATTGTATCACATTGCTGCTCTGGAATTTCTACTTTTTATTAAACTTGTGTGCTAGAATAAAATATGGGGTCAATTCTATTTTCCAGTCGTAACTAGCTATAGTAGATTTTCCCTCCCTACAAAATTCTGTACTCAAATAAATTTAGGAGTCAAGACAGGTCAAAGTTACACACATTTCTTTATAAAAGGTCTTTCTTTGTATATTATGCAAATGTATATTATAAATCTGTAATGAGATTCACAGGAAATGAAACTAAAGCAAAGAGAGATTAAATAACCTGCTTATGGTCATATGATTGGTAAGTGATGGAGTCAGGATCTAAATCCAAGTAGTCTGACTCCAAGCCTCTCAGAAGAAATAGTTTTGAGATTTTTAGTTGATTGTGCCATCTTTGTATATGAAGATAAAGCTAAGGGCTCAATGGTGGAGTTTGCACTTGAAGTTTCTTTTCTAAATGGTGGAGACAGATTTGTGCAGCTATCTGTACTTCTCTCATGTAGTGATCCTCCAACTAACAGTTTGTCTTTGAGAAGGTAGTCGGAATCTGAAATATGAATTCTAGCTATAAAATAGAATCTTAAGACTTTTTTTTAGTCAGGGAAATCTGATTATGAAGTGATAATTACATAACAAATGTTATTAAATTTATTAATAATATTAGATTGCATAAAAATTTCAATAACTTTTAAGGATACATGCTGACATATTTATAGATGAAATGATATTGTCTGAGGTTTTTTCTTATTTCACAGCAAATATACTAAAACTTTGATAACTGTTAAATTTGGGGCGATGGGTGATTTGTTATATTATTTTCTATGTTATTTGAAGCTTTTCATTTAAAAATGTTAACCTAGAGCTGGGAATGTAGCTTACTGCCAGCATGTGGGCAGGCACTCAGGCCCTGGGTTCAATTCCCAGCACTAAAGAAAAAAAAAAGTTAAGCTATATGCCATGTGTGTGTGCGCGTGTGTGTGTGTGTGTGTGTATATATATATTTTGGGGGGAGGGACTGGGGTTTGAACTTAGGACTTTGTACTTGCAGAGCAAGCACCCTACTGCTTGACCCAAACCTCTAGTCCATTTCGCTCTGGTTATTTTGGAAATTGGGTCTTGCTAACTATTTGCCTGGGCTGGCCTTGAATCTCCATCCTCCTGATCTCAGCCTCCCAAGTAGCTAGGATTACAGGCATGAGCCACCAGTGTCCAGCAAACTGACTGTTGAAAATCACTTTTTTGAAACTCTTTTCAACATATATAATTTGTAACTATTAGGAAGAGAACTAAAGCTACTGTTTCAAAGTAGATTATCATTTTAACATCTAAAGTAAAAAATTCATACTAATTTACTATCTTTTATATGCATTTACCTTCAATTATTCACTGCAAGTGATTCCAGTTAGATAATCATCTTTTGGAAGTTATCTTTAGGGACTACCAATCAACAATCAACAATCAAGAACAAGTAGTGTGCTAGGTGCTGGTGGTTCATGCTTATAACCCTAGCTATTCAGGAGGTAGAGATCAGGAGAATCAAGGTTGAAAGCCAGCCCAGGCAAATAGTTCCTATCTGGAAAAAAAATCCTTCACAAAAAGGGGCTGGTGGAGTGCCCCAAGGTGTAGGCCCTGAGTTCAAGCCCCAGTACTGCAAAATAATAATAATAAATAAATAAAAATATAACTTAGCCAGGCGCCAGTGGCTCATGCCTGTAATCCTAGCTACTCAGGAGGCAGAGATCAGAAGGACTGTGGTTTGAAGCCAATTCGAGCAAATAGTTCCACAAGATCCTATCTGAAAACACCCTTCACAAAAATAGGTCTGGTGGAGTGGCTCAAGGTGAAGGCCCTGAGTTCAAGCCACAGTACTGCAAAAAAAAACAAGTAGTGTAACTATACTGGGTCAATAATTCTAGCCCAATAAATACAAAATTAACATTTTCCATACAAGACTTTTTAAACTTAGTATGATTGGAATTAATTATAATAGGAGATCTTAAGCCAAACCCTGTTCACTTTATTGGTAAATGATTTTCTTCATCCCGCTTCCTAAAGAGCTTATTATCTGCATTGCTATCATGTCAATATACTTTTAATAAGTTTTTGAGAAGGCAAGGAGATATTTTAGGTTTCTTTTCTTTGTATGTCTGTTGCACCAAAAAAAAAAAAAAGTGGAAAAGGACACAAAATCACTATTTACTGAGGACCTACTATGTGTTGGGGCCTAAGTCATTATTTTAGGTACACTTTTAGTTAAGATCTTATTCTTAGATAGAGAAATGAAGGCCCAGATTTAGTAATTTGCCTAAAAGTTACATGGTAAAAAAAAGTCTAGACAGAAACCCAGGGGTGAGTTAACATAGGTTTGCTATTACCATGTATACTTAATATTTAATTAATAAGTGTATGGCTGTTAAAATTACATAGCTCAATAAACGGAGGAAATTAGGGTTTGGATTTTAAAAGTATAGGCTCAAATCCTGACTCTACTGGATATACAATCTTAAAACTGTAATAGCCTTTTGATTGAATTTCATCTTCTGAAAATGAGATAATCATACCCACATTCCCAAGTTTTCTATAAGGATTAACAAAAAGTGAAAGCTCTTTTGAAAGTGTAAAGCCTTAGTAAATGTAAAACATTATCATTGCTTGCTAAATTATACTTTACTAAGGGTAGGAGGTGAGTCTTTAAGCCATAAATGTTTGCTTTTTAAAGTCTCAAAAGCAAAACTATTCGTTCTGATGCTTAACTGCAGAGATCCGAGGCAGTATGTGTAATGGTTATCACTCAGATGACATTTAGGTTTGTACCTCTCAGCTCCACCACCTTCAGGCTATGAAAACTTTGGCATGTTACAATCTTCAGATCTGTGATCTTTATTTGTCAAGTGTGAAAATTACAAGTAATAGTCTCAATGTGATATCCTTGCTAATAGGATTAAGTGAACTAATGCATATAAGCAGCTTTGCACGTGTCTGGCAGTAGATGCATTTATTAAACTTTATTGTAACATTCAGCTACTAATAACTTGTCGAGTTGTCAATGACCACTGAAGCACCACGGCAGGTACAAAATGCCTCAAGACACCGACTCCCTAAATTCATTTAGTATAGTCCAAGAGGCCAAGTCTCGGGATAGCATGGGTGACACGTCCTCAGCCGGAGATGGAGGGACAAGAGACAGCGTCCGCCAAGGCTGGGAGGAGAGAATTCCGAAGGCCATTTTATTTTCTCTTCCTAGCTCTAGGAAAGGAAAGGAGCCTTCGCTCAGGAGGGTCCCCAGAGTGCCCGCGGCCCGACTCAGCCTCCCCCGGCACTGGCTGGGTTGGCTGAGCAGTCCACTCACAGCTCCAAGCTCTGTGGCACGGCCTTCCGCGTGTATCTGGAGATCATCCTCCTCCTCCTCAGCCGCGGCCGGGGCGGGTACGCCAGGGTGGGGGCCTCCGGACCTGGCTCTCCCGCCGGCTCGGGCCCGACCCCCTCCTGCCACCTACCGGCCCCGTCTCGCCCCGTCGCCTAGACTCCGGGTCGCCCTCACTCCAGAGTTCCCACCTCTCCAGTCTTCGGACCTCCCTGCTTCCCCGCGGGGGCGGAAGTGACAGAGGCAAGCGGCGCCCGTCAAACACTCCCGCCGACGCGCAGTAGTGACGACACCCAAGGTTCCGGGAACTAACGGGTTTCTGACTTTCTCACAGGTCCCAGGAGGGAGTGGGGATCAAACGCGGTGTATGGGCTTTGGCGGAGAAGCTCCTGAGCCTGCGCAGTCACACAGTGGAAGAGAGGCGGAGGGAAGGTTCCACGACGGAGACGAGCGGCCGAGGCCCTAGAGCCGTTAGAGGAACTGACTTCATTTTGTCAGATGGAAGAAGAGAGCCTGCTTTGAGTACCGCGCTCTGGCTTGGTTCACCCGAAGGGTCTCAGGTCCAGTTCCGACGCTGTAAATCCTACACAATGAGGTGCGCTCGGCGCTGTAGGGTGGGTGGTACAATTGATTGTCTCTCGGGATTGAACTGACTGGTGAGTGTGTATCTGGATAGAAGGTGCAGGTTGTTTATTAATCCATTAGATGAGTAAGCTGAAAATTCAAATCGCTGTGTTAGGGCCATCCAGTGCAGTGCCTTTTTCTTTTTCTTTTTTTACCAAGCATCACCTGACAGCAATAGTAAGCTAGTACTCTTATTAGTAAGGAGAAACCCTTCAAAAGCAAAGAGAACCAGAAGTATGTCCTCTGAGACTTTAGGACACATAGTGGTAGGATCAAGAACCGGGGACAAATTATTGTTAATATTTTTTAGGTGGTACAGGGGTTTGAACTCAGGGCTTCCGGCTTGCTAGGTAGGCACTCTGCCGCTTGAGCCACGCCCCCAGTCCCCTGGGCACATTATTTCAATGTGAGATGATAAGGGTATGAATATTTTGTAGTTTCACCTACAATGTTGGTGAAGGGTCCGATTTAAATTCTGTAGCTCGAGAGAAATTGCTGTTTACAGCATATAAATGACACAGTTTAAAGCAGCAAGGGGTTTTAGGAATTTTAGAGTAACATTTCCATTCTACAGTTAAGGAGAAAGCTCCAGAAAGAGAAAGTAACGTCCCCAAAAAGCGATGCAACTAGTTAGTGGCCAAACTGGGACTTGTGGTAGTATTTAAGAAGTGAGTGTTAGTACAGCGTTTCTTAAATTGTGTACACACACTCCACTGCTAGTGCAAGAGCAAACATTAGTTGCCCAGGCTGTCGCTGAACTCCTGGACTGTAGTGATCCTCTTGCCTCAGCCTCCCAAGGAGCTGCGACTACAGGCACACGGATTGAACCCAGCCACATTTAAATTTTTATTATTTTATTTATTTATTTTGTGGGTGTGTGAGTGTGCAGTGCTGGGGTTTGAACTCAGGACCTTGAGCTCTTAGGCAAGCACTCTTATCATCTGAGCCATGCCCTAGCCTAATATTCTATTCTTACATACTTAGTTAATTGGATTTCCATTCAGAGTATAATACCAAAATTTCCTTTTAACATAATTTTTTTATCTTTTTTAAATTATTGTACTGGGGTACATTGTGACAACTACAAAAGTTCACAATATATCATATCAACATAATTATGTATATGGTGTCATTAAAATAATATTAATTATTACTATAGGTGGTATATGGTCAAGACAAAAAACATGATGAAAGGTGGATAACAAAATTTTGGAGGACATTGTTAATGTAATCACCTAGAAGAGTTTAGGGAATGGGTTGATATTTCTACATTGTTTTATGTGGCTTATATTATTGAAACTTTAAATGTAGTTTTCAAAGAATGGAGGAAAATATGAAACTTGCTACAACGGAAGACACCGTGGAGTACCGTCTGTTCCTGATACCAGATGAAGCAAAGGATCCAGAAAAACACAAAGAGATTCTTCAGATGTATATTGAGAGAATAATGGCCCAGTTTGCCTGTATTCTGGTCCCATATATCTGGCAGAATCAGCCTTTCAATCTCAAATATAAACCTGGGAAAGGTAAAGTAGTCCATACTTCATTCTGTGTTGTTAGAGATTTATATTCTCAACTTTCTAGATTAGTGATGCTTGCCTGTATTCGTTAAAACGTAATTTTTTTTCTTAATTCATATTGATAAAAACTTTCTAATCGTCATTACCAGAGGAATTAGTTTACGCTAAACATTACTAAGCTTATGGCTATTGTTTTGAACTTTAATTAGTTATTATTTAAACAAATAATACTAAATTATTTTGCCATAAGTAAGTGTCTGTAACAAGTTTAGGCGTAGACCTCTTTAATTGTAGTTCCTTTGGCTGTTTTGCAATCCTTATCTTGATAACATGTTTTGTAGGCTGCCTTGTTTCGTGTAGTTGTTTTTGATGAGGGTCTGCTAGTGACTTTGCCTGGCTTATAAAGAAAGAGAAATAATTGGGCTTTATGACCATCAGTTGCTTCTCAGAAGCATTTTGCATTTCCTTCACTGTTTTCTTGTGTTGTCTGTGCTTGAGATCTGACCTCTAGCAAAATCTGGCACTTTTTCAATCATTTCTTAGCTTTTCGAAAATGAATATGGATAGGTGACCAAGGCTCTACTCAACGTAGTGACTTATATAGGGTCTTATTTAGGATCAGGAGCCTGGCATCTTGTGATATGTCAATCTGGCACACAGTTTAGTGCTGTTATTTATATTTGACTAGCGATTGCTAAATGCCTTCCCTGATATTAATTTTATTGAACTTTTATTCACTGGAATACATATGTGATATTTATTGACAGGAACATTGTCACATTAGTGCAGCACATCTAAAGCCAATCCCTTATATATCTTCTAGAAAATCATTTTACTCTGTTTTCTCATCTTATTAATGGCATTGCCATCTACCTAGTCTTCCACACTCATTAGCATTTCAAAATTACTCTCAGTTCCTCACTTCACCATGTTTTGTCAAACACCAAATCTTGTGATTACTTCTAAAACATGCCGGCCTCCCCCCCCCTTTTTTAAACATCTGTTTGACTTCAGTGTAGGCCCTTTTTATGTCTTCATCTGGGAAACTGCAAAAGCTTTTTAACTTATCTCTGGTTCCAGTGTACAGTTCCAGGTAATTATTGCCACTTACCTTTGTAAACACAAATTTGGTGGTGCCGTTCCCCAGCTTAACATCCTTCAACAGTTTCCCATTGCTTCAGAAAAAGGTTGAAATTGAAGTCTAATATACAAGGTAGATAAAATAGGTATTCTAATGAGCTTCTGAAATTGAAAAACCTTGGGAGGTCTCAGGTGGCAAGAAGACAATTGAGTGGACTACTCTTCTCACCTGGTTTTTGCCGTGACAGCCCTGGAGACTCTCTGCATCGTACTTGTTTTATCTTTGTTTTGTTAATGTGACACGTAACATTGACTGGTCTTTATATGTTACATGATCCTTATATTCCAGGAATAAATCTCACTTGAACACGGTATATAATCCTTTTAATGTGTTGCTGAATTTGGTTTGTATTAGTCAGTTTTTCATTGCTGTGATAAAATACCAGAGAGAAATCAACTTCAAGGAGGAAAGGTTTATTTTGGTTCAGCATTTTAGAAGTTTCAGTTCATGGTTGTCTGGCTCCATTCTTTCTGGACTATGGTGAGGCAGAGCATCATGAGCATGTGGTAGAGCAAACTGCTCACCTCACAGGGCACGCGGAGTGGGGGAGGGGTGGAAAGAAGGAGAAACATGCCTTTTCAAGACACACGCATAGTGACTTACTTCCTAGTTTCTATTGCCACCTTATAATGCGACCAAATTATAATCTGTCAGTGGATTAATCCACTGATGACATTAATCCACTGATGATCACGTGAGCCCTCATGATCCTGTCACTTCCCAAAGCCCATCACCTGGCAACCAAGCTTTTAACACATGAGTCTTTGGTAACAGTTTGCTAGTATTTCATGGATGGTTTCTGCATCAAAATTCAAGGATATTGATCTTCAGTTTCTTATTTTATATTAATCTTTGTCTGGCTTTGGTATTAGAGTAATGCTGGCCCCATGGAATGGGTTCGTGAATGTTTCCTCTTTAAATGTGTTGTAGAATTCTCCAGTGAAGTGTCTGGTCCTGGTATGTGTTTGTTTTTTGCTTTGCTTTTTGGTGGTATGGAGTTTGAACTCAGGACCTCATGATTGTTAGGCGGGTACTCTACCACTTGAGCCACATCCCCATATCTTCTGCTTTAGTTGTTTTTCAGATAGGGTCTTCTGGTTTTTTTTTTGCCTGGGCCGACCTGAACCACTGATGTCCTTATGCCTCTCATAGCTGGGAGTACAGTTGTATACCATCACACCCAGGTTATTGATTGAGATGGAGTCTTGCTAACTTTGACTGGCCTCAAACCTTGATCCTCCTGATCTCTTCTTCTTGAGTAGGTGGAATTACAAGCATGAGCCGCAACACCTGACTTGCTTTTGTTTTGAAAGAAGGTCTCCATTTGTACAACAGGCTGGCCTTCAACTCACAATCTTCCTGCCTCAACTTGCAGGTGTGTACCACCATACCTGACTATAAAGAGGTTTTTAATTACTGATTCAGTATTGTTACTATTTGTTGGTCTCTTCAAATTTTCTATTTCTTCATGATCCAGTTAAGACCTGGATTAGGCTGTGTATTTTTAAGAATTTATCCACTTCAAGGATTATAGTATTTGTTTGTATGCAGTTGTTCATAGTATTCTCTTAGAATCCTTTTTATTTCTGTAGCATTGGTTGTAATGCCCCCTATTTTATTTCCGATTTTAGAGTCTTCTCTCTTTTATTCTATTAATGGTTAATCAATTTTGTTGATCTTTTAAAAAAATGAAAACTTAGTATTGTTGGGTTTTTTTTCATTAATGTATTTTCTTTATCTCTACTAGTCTTTATTATTTCCTTTCTTTTACTAGATTTAGGTTTAGTTTGTTTTTCATTTTCTGATGCCTTGAGGTGTAAAATTTGTTGATTTGAGACCTTGCACAGCTACAAGCCTTTGTCTTGACCATTGCTTTTACTGACTCCCACACATCATGGTATATTGTACTTTCATTTTCAAGATATTTTCCATTTTCTCTTGTGATTTCCTCTTTCACTTGTGTGTTTCAAAGTTTTTTAATTTCCATGCATTTGTGGAGAGTGCCCTTGTTTGAAACTTTCTGGTCTTCTAAATCCAGCTTCCTGATATTCCCAGAATACGATAGTGCCTATCATGCCTCTGTGCCTTTACACATGCTTTTCCTCTTTTTGGAAAGTCCACCTCTGGTCATTTCTCCAGACATCCCCCAGGGCTCCTTTATGCTCACATAGCCTTTAGTGTATGCCTTTGTTGTAGTGTACATCATCTTGTTTTGAGATGGTTTGTTTGTCTGTCTCGTTTTAGACTCTTAAATTCTTCAAGAATAGTCATCGTGTTATCTTGTTCAGAACTACAACCATAGTTCCCAGAATAGTACTTGGATCATAGTCAGTCAATGAATGTTTGTTTACTTGAATGTTTACATGTATTATTTCTTGTGGTGACAAACTTATTTGCTTATATGGTTACTTTTCTCTTGTTTGCAGGGGGTGTTCCTGCTCATATATATGGCATAACAAAGTTTGGGGATAGCATTGAGGATGAATGGTTTATTGTTTATGTAGTGAAGCAGATTACAAAGGACTTTCCAGAGTTAGTAGCAAGGTATTGTCATTTTAATTATTCTAAAGGAATTGTGTTTTTTAAATTAAGTAATTACATTTTTATCCATTTAGTAATTTTTATTTCTGTGGTCCGGTGCAAATTGTTCAAATTTGGGACGCATTTAAAAAGTGACTATATTTTCTTTTTCTTCTCTTATGACTTCTTTTAGGTTTTGTTTTTTTAAATCCTAATTATAAAAGAAAAATATACATGGTAAACAAAATTAAAACAGTACAAAAGTTTGTACTGCTCTGGTTCCCCAGAAGTAATTACCATTTGGTTTGCCATTCCTTCCTTCCTTCCTTCCTTCCTTCCTCCCTCCCTTCTTCCTTCTTTTTTTTAAATAAATGATTTTTTAAATAGTCCCATAAAATTTTCTTGTGGATCTTTAAAAAAAAGTACATATAAATATGTTTCACAGATTTTTTTTTTTATTGTGAAGATTACCAGTGGTTTATTTAGTAAAGCAGGGCAAAGCAGGGAGAAATGAAAAGGGAGAAATGAATATCTTCTGAAGTGCAGGGGGTAGAAGCAGGAAACTCTTAATATGTCTCCCTCTTCTAGGCCATTACTGTATTTTTTAAGAAATCACATAGAATAAATTTAAAGAGAAATCAGTATAGGAAGCATTCTAATACGGTCTTTTAAAAGGGTAGTTTTCTATAATTACCTAATTGTGTAAACAGGGTGACCCACTCACTCATTTTTTCCCCCTACTTTTCCTACTCAGCCCCTAAAATCTGATCTTATACACACTAAACTTCTCCCCAGCAGAACAAAAGAAAAGGGGGAAAATTTTTGTAAACTTTTTATTATTTCAGTTTAAACATATGAGTAGAGAGAGTGAACACATATGTGCCCATCATCTAGCTTCAACATGTATCAACTGATAGTCACTATTATTTCATCCATACCCTTCCCCTACTTCATCACACAGAAAGATTATTTCAAAGCAAATCTCCAATTCTATGCCATTTGACCTTTAAATAATTCAGGGTATAAATCTTATTGATAAAAATCGTATTATTTATTTATTTATTTGAGATGGCATCTTGCTCTGTTTCCCAGGCTGGTCTGGACCTAATAGGACTCAAGTGGTCCTTTCTGCCTCAGCCTCCCAGGTAGCTTTGACTTCAGGTGTTTACCACTATGCCCAGCTTATTTTTAATTTTTGAATATTTATTTTTTATTTTTTAACATGGAAAAACATATCTTTATTTACATTAAAATTAAGAAATCTTGGCCAGGTGCTGGTGGCTTACACCTGTAATCCTAGGGACTCAGGAGGAAAATCAGGAGGATCACAGTTCGAGGCCAGTCCTGG